CCACTCCCCCACTCCCAAAAAGAGGCTGGTGCTAAGCAACAAACTTCATGAACAGGTGTAATCTTTGTAGCACCACCTTCTGGCAAACCCAGGTAGGACCAAAGGGCAATTCCTAGGCTTGCAATCGTAACTTTCTTTTTTTTTTGAGACAGGATCTCCCTGTAGCCCCAGTAAGCCTGGAACTCGCTCTGTAGACCAGGCTGGCCTCAAACTCCCAGAGTGTCTACCTCTGCCTCCCGAGTGCTGGGACTAAAAGAGTGTGCCACCACACTTGGGTCTTTTTTGTCCTTTTTGAGGCAGGGTCTCCCTGTAGCCCCAGCTGGCCTGGAATTGACTATGTAGACAAGGCTGGCCTTGAATTCACAGAGATTTGCCTGCCTCTGCCCCTCGAGTGCTGGGACTAAAGGCGTGTGCCACCACACCCAGCAGAAAGTAGGCATGGATGGGGTCTGAAACTTTTTTTCTTTTAGATAGATTTCATCATCATGTGTGGAGGTCAACCTCACACACGGCTTTTCCATGGATGTTCGTGACTGAATCCAGTAGCAAGCACTTTGTTGACTGTGCCATTTCTTCAGTCCCTAAACAATCATTTGTTAATAAGTACTTTTGTTTCTTTGCAGTACTTGGGATCAAACCCAAGGCCGTGAACATGCTAGCAAGCACTCTATCACTGAGATACATCTTCAGCCTCCTTTTTTCTTTTTCTTTTGTGACAAGGTGTACTGGTTTTGTTTCTGTTGTTGTGATAAAAATACCATGAGGGAAGGAAGTGTTTCTTTTATCTCACAATTCCTGGTTACGGTCCATCACAGCAGGGATGTCAAGGCAGGAATCAACTAGTCACGTTAGGCCCATAGTCAAGGGCAGAGAGAAGAAAGAAGCCCAGTGTGGTGGTGCTCACATTTAATCCCAACACTCAGGAGGCAGAAGTTGATGGAGTTTGAGGTCACCCTGGTCTACATAGTGAGCTCAGGCCAGCAAGGGTTATATAAGGGGGAGGGGAGGAAGGGAGGGAGGGAGAGAGAGAAAATGAATTTATGAAGGCTTGCTTGCTTATGCTCAGCTTGGTTTCTGTAGTATTACACAATTCAGTAGCCCCTGTCTGCTGTAGGGAATGGTGCTACCCACAGTAGGCTGATTCTTCCCACATCAATTAATCACTCCCAGACTTGCTCACAAGCCAACCCCAATGTGTAGACAATCCCTCATTGACAGTCTATTCCCAGCTGGACCTGGTGGCACACCTTTAATCCCAGCACTTGGGAGGCAGAGGCAGGCAGATCTCTGTGAGTTCGAGGCCAGCCTAGTCTACATAGTAAGTTCCAAGACAGCTGGGGCTATAGAGAGACCCTGTCTCAAAAATAAAAAAAAAAAAAAAAAAAAAAAAAAAAAAAAAAAGATCCAATTAAAGCTAACCATCACAGGGGATTTCACTAAATGTCCAGACTGGCCTCAATCTTAGTCCAGGTAGGCCTTGAACTTGAGATCCTTTTGCCTCAGCTCCCCAGGAACTTTTAACTTATTTACTTATTGAACTATGCATGATGGTTTGGGAGGCAGAGGCAGGTGGATCCCTGTGAGTTGAGCCCAGCCTGGTCTACATAGAGAGTTCCAGGCCAGCTTGGGCTACTGGGAGACCCTGGCTCAAAAAACAACAAAAAATTTATTTATTTATTTATTTATTTATTTATTTTGGGGTATATGTGTGCCACAGTGTATATGTGAAGGTTGGAGGACAACTTGTAGCAATCAATTTTCTCCTTCCAGCCTGGGTTCTGGGTATTGAACTCAGATTGTCAGGCTTGGCAGTAAACACCTTTACCAGCTGAGCCATCTTTTGTATTTTAGTTCTGTACCAAACATAATAGTACAATCAGTTATCTTCTTATCCTCTTTAGAATATTAATATCTTAAGATGAGAGTTGTGGTGCAGGCCTGTAATCTCAGCACTTGGGAGGTAGAGACAAGGAGGATCGGAATTCAAGCAATCTTTACTACATAATGAGTTCCAGGCCACCAGGCTACATGAGACTCTGTCTCAAAAAACCAACCCCCTCAAAAAATCTTGAAGATCCATCCCTCCCCAGTATTTTTTTGGAGATCCCTGGCAGGAGCCAGTTGAGGTTGACCTTCATCAGATGTTGGGAGTTTATGTCTTTAAGATACATTGATGGGCTGGCAGTGCAGCTTGGTTGGTAGAGAGACTGTCTAGCATGCACAAAGCACTTAGTTCAGTCTTTAGCAATGCATAAAAACTAGCCATGATGTAATCTGTAATCCCAGCACTGAGGAGGTAGGGGTCGGAGGATCAGAAGTTCAAAGTCATCCTTGTAGAGTTGAAGGCCAGCCAGGGACATACACAATCTATCACAAAGAAGGGAGAGAGGGAGAGGGAGAAGGAGGGAGAGGCAGAGAATGAGAGGGGGGAAGAAAACAAAGATGCTTTGAACATGTGTGACAGAAATTCCATTTTTTTACAGAATCACATATAACTGCTAGAGCATTTGTGGGGCTGGGAACTCTCTTTGAGTATATGCAGAGCACAGATCCTGAAGTGAGAGCCTAACCCTCTTGTGATTCTTAGGATGGAGTCCACAGAGAAGTGTGAAGCCATCATCACCCACTTTAATGGGAAATATATTAAGACACCCCCTGGAGTACCAGGTGAGGCATCTGGGAATCAGGCTGGGAGCCATAGGCCATTCCTTCCAGGGAAGACTCTGGAGGAGTTTTGCATGAACACAAGTGAGTTCAGTGAGTGTGACTCAGCTGCCTATCTGCTTTCTCCCTTGCCAGCACCATCTGATCCTTTGCTTTGCAAATTTGCTGATGGTGGTCCAAAGAAACGGCAGAACCAAGGAAAATCTGTGCAAAATGGACGGGCCTGGCCAAGGAATGGGGACATGGTAAGAGGCCTCTAAGGAAACAGCAGTACTAAAGATGTTAAAGTGGGACAGCAATGGCCATGGCCGGATTGCTCTGACCTTAGGTGGCAAGCTTCAGAGCAGTAGTGTTAGCCGAGGCTGCTTCCCACGCTCTTGTGTGTGACTTGAGTGAAGTTCTGCATCCTGCACAGTCTGAAAAACCTCAGCAGCTGTATTGGGACTTGTCCAGACTCTAGTCTTGACATGTTGTGCTTGCCACGTGAACACTATGTTCTTTCTTATAGGGTGGTATGGCCTTGACCTATGACCCTGCCACAGCTCTTCAGAATGGGTAAGGAGGATATTTTCAATTTTTAAAAATATTATTTTTATGTGTATGAGTATGATGCCTGTATGTATGTAAGTGCACCTGTGTCATGCAATACCCACAGAGTTCAGAAGAGGGTGTCAGATCCCCTAGAACTGGCATTACAGATGGTTGTTAGCTGCCATGTGAGTGCTGGGAATTGAACCAGGGTCCTCTGCAAGAGCAGCTTGTGCTGTTAACTGCTGAGCCACTCTCCAGCCCCAATTTATTTTATTTTATTTTATTTTATTTTTTTGTCTTTTTGAGACAGGGTCTCCTTGTAGCCCCAGCTGTCCTGGAACTCACTATGTAGACCAGGCTGGTCTGGAACTCACAGAGATCCACCTGCCTCTGCCTCCCAAGTGCTGGGATTAAAGGTGTGCACCACCACGCCTGTTTCCAGCCTCAATTTAAAATTTATTGTGTGTATTTTGCCTGCATGTATGTAAATGTACCATATAGGGCTGGAGGGACAGCACAGCCGTTAAAGGCTAAGGCTAAGAACCAAAATGTTAAAGGTTCAAATCACATTCTTTTCATTTAGAACGTTATCGGAGAAGTTACAACAAGGCTTTCAGTCAAGATTAGTGCCTTCTTTTTCCCTGTTCCTAAGTATGTTAGAAAGAAACTGGATTCTAAAGCCTAAGTACCCAAGAGATCCCTTAGCATTATCCATTTCTAGTCTCAACTTTTTAGTCTTTTTTTTTTTTTTTTTTTTTTTTAGAGGCAGGGTCTCTCTGTAGCTCCAGCTGGCCTGGAACTTACTATATAGACCAGGCTGGACTTGAACTCACAGAGATCCTCCTGCCTCTGCCTCCTGAGTGCTGGGACTAAAGGCATGCATCACCATGCCTGGCAAGGTGTTTATATTAATTAAATCACCTGAAAATGTCAATGGCCTGCAGGCATTTGGACATTTCATTTTGATTTTCGAATAGCAGTTGGAAGTGACTCTGCTTCTGTCAGAGGAAGCCCTCACCTGATGGTTTCATTTGACTCCTTGCTGAGAAGGTTTTTTTCCTACAGATTTTATCCAGCTCCTTACATTGCTCCCAGCAGGATGCTTACTCAGTCCGCACTCTCCCCATATCTTCCATCTCCTGTGTCTTCGTATCAGGTATGTTCATCCCCTGAAAAGGGTATGGTGTTTTTACCTAACCTGTGCTTTAGGTGAAGGAATATAAAGCCTTTCTATATATTATACACAAATCATGTTATATAAAACCCTAAAATGGGTCAGGCACGGTGGTAAATATCTTTAATCCCAGCACTTGGGAGGCAGAGGCAGGTGGATCTGTGAGTTTGAGGCCAGCCTGGTCTACATAGTGAGTTCCAGACCAGCTAGGGCTACAGGGAAACCCTGTCTCAAAAACACCAAAACAAAACAAAAAACACCCCACCAAAACCCTAAAATGTAATTTATGTATGTATGTGTATATGTGCATGCATACAGTATGTGTGTACAAATAATTTCAGACATATTTCATTCTCTCTACGCCCCCACCACACAAGTAAACTTATGTTTCCGCCTTCTGTAGAGCATTTCTTTCTTTTCCTTTTTTTTTTTTTTTTTTTTTTTTGAGACAGGATCTCACTATTTAGAGCAGTTTGAGATTTGCCTGCCTCTGCCATGCCTTAAAGGCATGTTCCAGATGTATAGCACTTTCTATATTTTTCTTCATGTGAATATATACATATGTATGGGGCTTTGGAGTCATTTATTTTACAAAAATTTAACTATATTAGGAGGCTAGAAAGATGGCTCAGCAGTTAAGAGCACTGGCTGCTCTTCCAGAGGACCTAGGTTAGTTCCCAGCACCTACCCAGGCTGGCTCATAATCATCCCTATCTCCAGTTCCAGGGGATCTGACACCCTCTTCTGGCCTCTTGAGGGCATTTCATGAGTCAGATGCACTTACATACATGCAGGCAAAACAGTCATACACATAAAATAGAAATAAAAAAATTTAATTAACCATGTTAAATGTTTTATACTATATTCTCACAACAGTATCTTTTAAAAATTACATTTATTTATCATGTGTGTATGTGTATATGTGTGTGTGCATGGGAAAGTCTGTGTGCCGTGGTGTGTGTGTAGAGGTCAAAGGACAACTTGCAGAGATCAGTTAGTTCTCTCCTTCCACCACATGGATCCTGGAGATCAAACTCAGGTCTTCAGGTTTGGCAGCAAGAGCCTTTACCTGCTAAGCCATCTCACTGGCCCTTTGCCTATTTTTAATTGGGTTGAGTTATAACTGTTGCTAATATTCATTAAACAGCTTGTGCTTAATGTTTCTGTATTCTGAAGGGACACATCAGTTTATGGGGGGGGGGTTGCTGAACATCCTCAGATCACTGAGCCTTGGCAGTTAACATTTTTGTTTGTTTCTGCTTGTATCAGAGAGTGACTCAGACATCTCCTCTACAAGTACCCAACCACCCATCTTGGATGCACCACCAGTCATACCTCATGCAGCCTTCAGTGAGTGTCCAAAAGTGGGCAGAAGCAAGTAAGAGGGGCAATTTGATGTAAAAGAAAGCAAAGGGCTTTGATGGTAGGACATGTGGGTGTGAGTTCTGGCTCAGTGTGTTGTGCAACGCAAATGTAAGCCTTAAATTTTGTGAGTTTGTTATTCTTAGACAAAGGTCCCTCCAGACTGAAGGTCAAGGTGCTGTTCCTATTATATAGCTGGGCTGGCCCTTGCTAGGGTTCTTAATTCCCAGGACTTTAAAACATCAGCAGGCAGTCCTCTAGTTACTGCCCGATCTGCTGTCCTCTTACAGTGTCTTTAATAAACTCTTCTTAAAAAGTGAATAAAATATTTCTCTTCAGTGGCTCTGCTAGCCATGTTGCTACTTCTGGCATCCTCATAGGATGCTGCTGCCTAACCCTTTCCTTTGTTGCTCCCCTCTAGGGCTCAGTTCTAACACCAGGGATGGATCACCCCCTTCCTCTCCAGGCTGCTTCCATGATGGGACCTCTTACTCAGCAACTGGGTCACCTCTCGCTCAGCAGCACTGGCACGGTAAAGGATTGTCTCCAAGTCCCAGCTTCTTAAATTCTAAGAGTAAGAAGCACCTGTGTAGCCCCTCAGCATAGTGAGGAATGGAAGCACTCAGAACAGAGAATCACCTCCAGTGCCCAGTACTCAGGAGGCTGAGGCAGGAGAAATGTCACAAGTTCAAGGCCAGCCTGGTCTACATAGTGAATTCTATATTAGCCAGGGTTACAGAGTAGACTTTGTCTTTTTTTTCTTTTTTTAAGTGGAGACAAAAAAGAATCTGTAAGCTAGGAATATAGCCACTGTGCTGCCTTGCCTACCTCTTTTTACCTGCTTCCTAGTCACAGAACTAAATGAATCATGTTTCTATTTATGAATTAATACATGAATTAATACATAGTGGGGTGGGGTGGGGTGATGGTGCACGCCTGTAATCCCAGCACTTGGGAAGCAGAGGCAGGTGGATCTCTGTGAGTTCCAGGCCAGCCTGGTCTACATAGTGAGTTTCAGGCCAGCTAGGGCCACAGCGAGACCCAGTCTCAAAAAGACAAAAAAAAGATTAATACAGATTTCCTAGAAATCCTTATCAGAATACTAACAAGACTAAATGAAGAGCCTTAGGCTTCTTTTAGGTCTACTGCATTCTGACTTTCCCAGGAATGCTGATGGGCAGAAAAGGTTGGTTGTGAAAGAACAGGAAGGCAGTGAGGAAAGAGGACGAAAGTAAGTAGGTAGAGATGTTTCTAAGCTGGTATACTTTGGCGACACCCAGAATGCTTTTAAGAAGATGCCAATTAAGGTAGTCCTGGTGTTTTTCAAAGTTACCCAAGCGCTTTAACCCAGCCAAGAACCACTGCTATAAGCTGTTGGTTTCTCATTCCAGTACATGCCCACAGCTGCTGCCATGCAAGGAGCTTTCATCTCCCAGTACCCTCCTGTGCCTTCTTCCAATGTTTCAGTCGAGGTAAGAGCATTATATCTTTGCAGTGAAGCTAGGACAGTAAAGAGTCAACTTTCTCTCCTGAGCAAGATCTTCCTTCCTCTCAGTGCTGCTGATACTGTGCCTCACTGGTAGGTGTGAGGAGTGCAGGGAGGAAAAGGCTGCATCGGTGTTCACGGTCAGCCGGCTCAGTTCTGTTTATGCCAAGATGGTGCCTCAATTGCTTCACTGCTCTGCAAATAAGCTATTCCTATTTCCCAAAGTAGCTGCATCATTTTACACTCCTTCCAGAAGGTGCTTATGTGCATACTTGTATATGGGGGAGTGGGCAATTGGGGGGCCACTCAGCTTCAAGTGGGTTTTAGTGAGGGTTCTTCAGTAGGAGGTGACAGGAATGTGTCAGTAACTTGCCTTGGCTGTGACAGGAGAGCAGTGGCCAGCAGAATCAAGTGGCAGTAGAGACACCCTCGGACCACGGGGTCTTTCCTTTCCAGTTCAGCAAGTAACAGGGTAAGAACTTTATGTTGGGGGCATGCTGTTGGGCTGAACTGGGAGCTTCAAGCAGCTCAGCCTTGCTTGAAGCCAGGGAGGTTAACTGTCACAGTCCTCCACCCCTCACCTGTTTCTACCTCCTTTATGATTCTCAGCCCCATCTTCTAGACTCCAGAAGGTTCGACAAGTTACACACCATCTGTAGACTATGCAAAGCACTAATATGTGGGCATCATCTTTTCATAGGCCTGGGCCTGGGAAAAGAAACCTCTGCACTCCTGCCTCGGGCTGTCCATTGCTGATGGAGCCTGGGGAGCCGTATTGCTTTTTGTATGTGCTGCATTCAAGGAGATCAAAAAAATTTTTTTTCTATTACAAAGAAAGTTTTTTGTTTTATTTTTAATTGCAATGTACCTTTCTCCTACCCCAAAGAGACATTGTGGCTGGAGCTGCTTCTCATTTGCATGAAAAGTTTTTTGATGTGTTGAAAATATTTAGAAAGGCTTTTAAGATGATTTCTTTAAAAAGAAAAGGCAGAAAGTGCTAAAACATTGATGAAGGAACCCTGCTTGCTGAGTTTAGTTATGGACTATTTTTGATATGTGTCAATATGTGTTTAAGAAAATACATAGACTTTAATTTTTTAATTTCTTACTATATAGCTCTGGTTGGCCTGGAACTCACTATGTAGACCAGGCTGGCCTTGAACTCCTCCCAGTGCTGGCCTGCACCATCGTACCTGACCAGACTTAACATTTTTGTTTTGCAAAGCTTTCAGCCCACACACCCCATCTTTTTACACTTTTTAAAGCTTTTTTTAAAATCCGTTTTGCTCTTTTTCTGTTTTCTGTATAGCTAGACCTGTCTTCTTTGCCTTTTTACAGTTTTCAATTTTACAAGTTTCTTTTTGGACTTAAATTTCACATGGAACTGGGGAGAAGGGGTGGGGGGCAAGGAGCAAGGTGGGACACGAAGCAGACAGCAGAAGTGGCTTTTTCCTCTACCCTGCTATGCCGGGGGAAGGCTAGACTGGCTGTGAGAAGCAGAGGTACGGCACAGGCTCATTCCAGAGACAACCTCAGAGCCTTTGGAAGCTACCCTCCAATCAAATTTGGTGGCAAGTTCCAGAAGAATGAATTGATTGACTTCTGACTAGCTCTTCACTTGCCCATGGGAAGTGTCTTCCAGCTCCAGCTTTTTGAGAATGTCCATTCTGCATCCTCAGAGGATCTTCGCTTCTGCCCTGGGTCTCATGGCCCCTCATCCCTGCTACATGTGGCTGTGCTCCACCTTTGAGCAGTGACCTTCTGAATCCATTTAACCATTCTTCCCCCACAGTGGAAAATTTGCTGCTTCACCCTAACTGAAGGTGGTTTTTGTCCCCTGGAGACTGTTGCCATATCTGTCCTCTTCAATTGCCATGGCTGGAGGTAGCTGTGTATATGCTCAGCAGTTGGCTGCTGTGGATCAAGGATGTTCCTAAACATCCTACCATAAACACAACAATCCCCTCCCGCAACAGTTATCTGATTCAGAACATCAACATAATGCCAAGGCTGAGAAGCCTTGGTGTTTCCCTGCCTGGATACACAGTGCCTTTTAACATTCATGTTACCTGGGAGTGCTTAACTGTAAGCCTTGAGTTCTGCCCAGGCTTGACCTTTAACCTTTGGAATGCTTCCTGGAAGATCTTTTTTGCCCTGGGTCTCACAGCCCCTCATCCCAGCTGTATGTGGCTGAGCGCTGCACACACAGCTGTGACCTTGCTGAATCCACAAGGCAAGAACTGTCATAGCAGGGCTCATTCATAGCTGTACGCAAATACCAGATGTCTAGAGTTTAAGGATCAAGGTGGGGACTGTGTGATTTGCATGCTTGACAAAGGACAGAACTCTGCCGTGACCTGCTCTGCCCTGCCCTGGTGTTTGGACCCTGTCCCCTGGGAACCAGAACATCAGAAATTTTCGTTCTTGTGGAAGGACAACAGGAAGTTAGGATAGAGAAGGGCAATATATCCATCTCATTATACAAGGTCAGGAGGCACTTTTAAAAATGCCTGCCGCCGGGCATGGTGGTGCATGCCTTTAATCCCAGCACTTGGGAGGCAGAGGCAGGCGGATCTCTGTGAGTTCGAGGCCAGCCTGGTCTACATAGCGAGTTCCAGGTCAGCTGAGGCTACGGGGAGACCCTGTCTCAAAAAGACCAAAAAAAGAAAGAAAAAATAAAAATAAAAATGCCTGCCTTAGAGGCAGGCAGATCTCTGTGAGTTCAAGACCAGCCCTGTCTATATAGTGAGTTCCAGGCCAGCTGGGGCTACAGGGAGACCTGTCTCAAAAAGACAAAAAAAAAAATCCTGTTTTTAACTGTCCCCTTCTCCAAGAGCTATGTCCCACTTCACATCAAGGGGACCTCCACCAATCAGACAAAGCAAGAGATGGAGAAGCATATGGGAGGAAGGGATGAGTGGTGGAAAGAAACAGGTTCGGTAGCTGTGCTGTGCATTCTACAAAATTGAGTCCCAGCCCTCCGTAGCCTGATTGTCCGCTTGTACATTCTAGGAATAAGGGGTCGGGGCTATGGCTAGCATACAGTGTAAAGAACACAATTACCAGTTTTCTCAATGGTGCTTCTGACTTAGGAAGGCATATCCTCCATAAAAGCCTCAAGCCCAGTAACCTAGAAGGGTTTCACTGGGCAGACAGTGCTTGCTTTTCTAGCCCTCAGTGACAAAGTACACCTAAGCTGCTTGCCAGAGCTGCTTTCTTGTCACTGACTTTTAAGAGGAAAAACAAACCCAGACTACTTAACTGACTGGACTGAGGGAGCACTGCTGACTGGCTGGGGGAAGTATAGACAGTCTTCATGTCACTATCCCTTCTCTGCCTCCACTAGTTTCTTTCTCTGTACCTAAGCAGCACTTCAAATGGCTAACGGCTTTAAAATGGGCATGGGAAATGATTAAGGTAATCTGCAGTCCTCTTCATAGTGGTCAATGGCAGGGAGGAATTTATGCTTGGAAATTTTCATCTGCTCTATTTTCCCCTCGCTGGCTCATCTCTGACTGAAGTAATAAAAGACAGGAAGATGGACTGGCTAGAGAGGGCTCTCCATGAAATGGCCCTGTTTTGCAGAAGGGGAGCTGTGCCTCCAGCACACAGCCCAAGGCTGGCCTTTAAACACTATGCTGTTTTCTAAACAGTTTTTCATGGAAGCCAGATTTTTTTCTCTGCGTACTTTACATTTCACCCCTACTCATTATACTATCACAATATTCTAAAATATTTTAATATTCATGTTTTTGTTTTCAGTTAGATGGAACATACCACAGTCCATCCCTCAGGTGGTGTAATCCATTACTAGGTTCCAAGCCTGTGCCGTCACATGCCAGTGTTATTAGTGCTTTTTTCAGGCTGTGTTGGTCTGGACCATAGATGAATGGAACTTTTTCGAGGAGGAGAGTGCTGGTAATGATTAGGAAGGTGTGGGAACAATGATGGGGAAAGATGTTATTTTTAGAATGCTTTCAACCAAAGAAAGTGACAAGCTGCCCAGCCTGAGAAGCCAGGTGGCTTTACAGCCCTTGCCAATAATGGAGCTAGGGTGGTAGGAATTATTTGCAGTGGAGACCAAAAGTCATTGCTCCTGTCCACTGTCTTTCCTAGACAAGTAAAAAAAGTGAGGGGAGTATTGTTGCTCTTAAAGACATGTCCCACCTTTTGGGAAAGTGTCCTCATTGCACCCATGAGGGCTGCCTTCTTAGTCAAGAGCAATAGTACATTTGGGTGTGTGGGGAGGACCAAACTTGCCCCAACCTTTTCTAGACCTGAACTTGAAGAGAGTGGGTTTCATAAAAACCAGTATGTAGGAGAAAAATCACATCTGTGTCTCGTTAAGAGATTCTTCCCGATTCCCTTCTAAACCAACTACTCCACTTCGGTGCGGCTTCAGTTCTTTCTTCTAAGCACTGGCAGTTTCCTGAAGGTTACTCAGGTTTCACCCCTTCCTTCCAGTGGAGCCCTCCTTCAGCAGCTTAGACTGCAGTCGTCTCACCTACCCTTTGTGGAGCCTTCCTGCAGTGGTGTCCACGTGGCTGTGATGAGAAAGCTAGATGTTTTTATCACCCTGGCAACCACTGCTTTCTGTCTGGCCTGTCCACTTGTTTGGAATAAGCATTCACTGTCCAAGCAGATCCCCAAAGTTCTTGTCCTTGTTACTCAACTACCTCACAATCCACAGTTCAACAAGGGCACAAGCACCTACTCAACGTAAAACTTCCTTTACTGTCTATCTTCATGGGAGTTAGGAAGCTGGAGGCTAGAAAGAGCTCAGGCTCATGAACAAATGCAGAAACCTTAAGCTATTTAACTCAAGTTGCTGTTTCTAGACCCTCTTCTCTGGGCAGTCTGGCTCTCTAATCACCGTAGAATGTTAATTGATCCTGTGTAAAATGCCAGGGGGTAGGATGTGAAGTGACCACAAAGGGTAATTACTAGTCACCTCAGAAACACCAGCAATGAGCAGAGCTTAGAATGTTAGAGGATAAGAGAATTGATTTCATGGCTGCCACAGAGCTGAGAAGGTATCAGACATAAAGGAGTTTGTGTGTGATTTTAACAGGGCTGGAGATATTCCCTGCTCCACCTTAACGCCATTAGAGGCTTCAAGAGACACTGTGCCCAGCCAGGAAGGTAGTAAGACTTTTCCAGCATTACGAAACAAGCTCCCTACCCCCACTACTGGTGCCCTGACCCCCCAGTACACTCCTTACCCCTTTTCTGGGTAGGTGAATGTACTTACCACCTTGGAGAGGAAGTTTAATTTATACTTAAAACACATTTTGTATATTTTTCCTTTAACCAGAGACTTCTAGTTTTATACTCTTTCCACGTTTATACCAATACCACCCTTGTAACTTACTCTTCCTTTTCTGATTCCTGGTCTTCCTGCACCTTCCCCATGATTTCGAAGAGCTTTATTTTTGCTTACTTCATTTTTTTAAAAAAATAAAACACAAAACCGTGTGTCTTGGAGTCTTATCCGGGGTTGTGAAGGGGAAGCCAGTGATCTGCTCTATTTTCCTACAGCATAGGTGGCAGCTTAGGTGACATCTCACAAGGAGGCAGGAACCAGGCACAATGTCTCCTGCTTCCTCAGCACCTTAGTCACACTTAGTCTCCTTGAAGCAGGAGAATTGAATACATTCTAGCCACACAAGCAGAGAGTAGAAGAATTGTCTCAATTCTTCCCCAAAGAACAGGTCAAACTGGGAGGCTTAGGGGTCAGCTTGATATCAAGCCAGTCATATCTACCCAGTCTCTACCTCAGGGTATGAAAACCTATGTTTCAGGCGAATAGAAATACACGAAGTCTTTTGAATCTCTATCAAATGTGGTTTTTATTCAACTGACAAGCACTTTTCTACAGCTGCACTTGTGGAACATCACATGGCAAAAACGAGGTTTTTTTTTTCTCTAGACTTTTTTTCCTTTTTTTAAACCTTATTAAAAATGAGATTGGTCCTAAAAATATAGAAAGAAATAAATTTAAATTCACAAAAAACTGTACATTATCAAAAAGTCACTAAAACACCACATTTGGTTATATAAAAAGTCAGTCCCTTCTGTGTAAAAGGAACATGGAAACTTGGTGTTGATGGTGTGGCTTCTTGCTGTTACCAGACTGATAGGGGAGGGGACACAAAGGGGCAGGAGGTGGGTTGTCTTATTTTTAACCTTCCTTCCCTACCAAATACTCTTTGTCAATAGAGAAAATCCACCTAGCTCAAGGGGCAGTGAAAACGAGGAAAGAAAAGTGAGATATGGCCCCTTTGATCATGCCTACCCCCACACTTCCCCAGAGCCCCAACTTCTTCAAACCAAGTCTAGGGCCCACTTCACCTCAAGAGTGCCTGGTCCCTAAGGAAAGAGATGGAACGGGGAGAGGAGTGCAAAGCAGGAACAGTCGAGGCCTTACTCCCTATCCACCTCACTTCCAACAGTGAATTATCTGGTACATTTTATGCCAGGGGAAACTTACCATGGGGAAAAAGTGGAGCCCCCAACAGTTCCAAATGTCTAACACAAAGTTTGTTACGGCGCAGTTATTTAGATAAAATATAAATATTTATGCATAATATAAAGTCAATTCAAATATTCTTCAATCCACCTCTTATTTAAAAGCAAAACAACAAAAAAAAACTCAAATAAAATTAAGTTTTGAGGTTTATCTGACAGAAAAGGCGACTTTAGAAATAGGCAACAGGGAGTGGGGTGAGGGTGAGTTGAGGAGTGAGGGGCTGCCCAGGACCTGCACTGCCCCTTCCCCCATCAGTACTGCTGGAGTACAAGGAATGTGCCACCTCACCTGGCACCCTCTGCCCCCACCAATGGACATTGCTTAGATGCCTCAGCTCTCTGCTTAGGCCAGCATGGAGCCACCTCCCCAGTGCAAGTACCCGTAATTTCTGATGGGAGGGGCTCTGCTGAGCAGGAAAGCAGGGGGCCGGCGGCCCATGGCTATAGCTCGGAGTTAGCAGCTTTCCTCTCATGTTGGGGGGCTTAACCTGGGCTTAGTCACATGTGGGACAGTGGTAGACCCAGAACCTCTCCTCTACCCCATGTTCCAGGATCTCTGCTGCTGGGGAAAGGGTCCTGGGGGTTATAAAATAGAGGAAAGGAAGGAAAACACAACTAAACCCACAGAAGGAAAGATCCAGTTCTACCCCTTCTCCCTACAAAAGCTTAAGACTCAAAGCTACTGAGAGGAGAGGGAGTTCCTGCTGAAAAAATTGCACAGTTTGAAGAGGCTGGAACAGAAATGACCAGGAGAGAGACAGCCTTGTCCCCAGAGAAACAGTTCCTGTGGTTTCCCAAAGACAAAAAGTGATGGTATAAAATAATGGGAAACATGGGGATAAGAACATGTATTTGGGGAAACTGAATGGATCCCATTAAACAAAACAGGGTCACAATCACAGCTCTTACTTGTGTGCAAGTACACACACACACACACACACACACACACACACACACCACCTCTCTCCCTCTCTCTGAGGCCAGTCAATTGCTTCCTGGCCTCCATCTCGGAGGAGCACTCAAACTCAGCAGTAGTTGTCCCTGAGGAGTTCCCAAGAAGGAGGTTTGGGAAGCAGGTGGGGAAGGAGGCTGGAAGGCCCAGGGTGCCTGCCTGCCCTCTCCCCAGCCACAGAGTTTCAGAAAAGGCTGGAAACTCAGCATGTGAAGAGGATCCAACATTTTAGAGGGGTACCTATTGGCAGGAAGATGAGGACAGAGAGAAAGACAGGGACTCTGAACTTTTTTTTCCACTAAAGGGGAAAAAGATTTGGGAGCAAAGGGGAGGAAAGAACCCGTACACAATAAGTTTTACATTATTGGGTGAAACAAAATCTGAAAAATAGGGTGGGGAAAGGAAAAGAAAAAAAGGAAAGCGAGAATCAGGGAAGGGACTGAACATGGAAGCAGCATGTTCAGGGCCCGGTGTCCGGCTCGACACACTTGGGAATTAAGTCCACTTTACTGGCCGTCACTGCGGGTCCGCACACAGTACAGAGTGTTTCTCGGTTTCACACATTCACTAGAACTATTGCTATTGTTAAATAACCCCAGAAGACTGGGGCATGTACAGGGGAAGGAGAGGAAGCTAGGAAGAGGAGCTAGGGACTTCTTTCCCCCTCTCCATTTTTAATTAGGAAAAAAAGCAAAGGAAAAATTCTTTCTTTTTGGCTTTCAGTCCAAAAGGACCTCATCTCTGCATCTCTTATTTGAGGAGCAAGAGGAGGAAGTGAGAAAGGGAATTAGGGACAAGAGGATGTGGGTGCTGCCCAGGGTAGGATCAAGAATCAGTATTGTGCCTGACTTGAGTCTGGACCAAGGGCAGCGTCAGCAGGTGAGAAAATGGCAGGTTTTTGTTTGGAAGGGTGGAGAAGATGCCACAAAGTGACTTCCCACCTTCCTCGCCTCACAGATTGGCCTGTTTTCCCTGATAAAATTCTTCCCAACGGCTCTCAAAGAAGCGGCGCATGATGTGCCCAGCCTTGCCCACTTCAGAGTCATCCTCATTGAAGGTCTGGCAGTTGTCAAACACCAGAAGGGCATCAGCTGCAAATTCCTCTGAGCTAGTATACCTGGGAAGAGGGGGAGATAAGGCTGTGAGCTGGTAAGAACTCTCAAAGAAGAACTAGGAGAGAGAGAGCAACATCTACTTACCCTCCCCGGAGCAGCCGTTCCCGCATAGTGGAAAAATCCATAGGGTTCTTGATGATGCGCCGGTACCCACTCACCAAGCGAGGGTTCACAGGCTCCAGGAAAGGCCAGGCCGCATCATGGGACTCCATCTCCATTAGGATAATCCTATCAGTGCAAGAACAGAGATGGTTCCATCTCAGGAAGCACACACATATCCCTCTTAGCCCTTTGCTCTGGCGGAGGGACAGCCAGCTTTCCTTAGAATTCACTAACTCACTCGCAGAATGTGAGATCACTGTGGTGGTTCCTCATTGAGAGTCGCCGTCGCTTAGAGGGGGACAGCCCTTCTTCTGAGTACCGAGGCACTGTAGGGCTTTCTCGGCTCCTTGATAGTACCCGACGTCGGCGGCTATCACCCTCTGGGAAGTTCAGTGGAAAACTACTTTTTCGCTTCTGGCCTCGTTTTGGAAAACCAGGCCTCTGAGTGAATTCTTCCTCTACCTGCTGAGGACAAGAAAAGGTGAGATCAGCAATGCTGGATGTATCCAACTTGCCCCCCGATTCATCAGAATCCCTAGCTAAGTGTGACTGGGGCTTCATAATAACTCTTCACACATACCCAGCATGTGAATTTATTCATATAACCCAATGGGAGGCGAGGCAGAAAAGGAAAAGTTGTACTTATTTCCATTTCATAGAAGAAGTGACTGATACTAAAGTATTTTGTTGTTGTTTGGGTTTTTTTTTTAAATATTTTATTTATTTATTTATTTTTGGGTCTTTTTGAGACAGGGTCTCCCTGTAGCCCCAGCTGTCCTGGAACTCACTATGTAGACCAGGCTGGCCTCGAACTCACAGAGATCCACCTGCCTCTGCCTCCCAAGTGCTGGGATTAAAGGTGTGCACCACCACACCCGGCTTATTTTTATTTTATGTATATGAGTGTATTGCCTGCATGTATGTGAGTGCACCCGTGTCGTGCAATGCCGTGGAGGTCAGAAGAGGGCGTTGGATTCCCCTGGAACTGGAGTTAAGGATGGTTCGTAGCTGCCATGTGGGTGCTGGGAATCAAACCTGGGTCCTCTGCAAGAGCAGTCAGTGCTCTTAACTGCTGAGCCATCTCTCCAGCCCCTCCCCCCTTTTTTTAAATGGTCTTTTTGAGACAGAGTCTCCCTGGAGCCCCAGCTGGCCTGGAACTCACTATGTAGACCAAGCTGGCCTGGAACTCAAAAAGATCCACTTGCCTCTTGCCACCCTAGTGCTGGGATTAAAGACCTGCACCACCACACCTGGCTTTGATACTAAAGAATTTAAGTGACTTGTTCAAAGGGGAACCGGAACCTAACATGTTGTCAAGAGTTCATATCAAGGAGACACTGAGCATAGGAGACAGCTGAGACTGGTGGTAAAATGGAATGAAAAAGAAAATCTCTGACTTCTACTTGAGAATGGGAATGAAACAAGAGAAACTAACCTGGGCCAAGCAGACAGCACAGAACCAATCTCCTTCCGGGACAGCCTCCATCTTGGGCCGATGGCAGTAAATATGGCAGCCACGGTCACACCCATCACAAAGCAGGAGAAACTCATCATTGTCACCCTTCCGGCACACTAGACAGGTCTGGACCAGGGAGACAGAGCCCTTAATCCTCTGTCTATCTCTGACCCCATCCTCACCAGACACCTGGCTTATCAGCCTTTCTGGCTTTCCCAGCTTCTTACCACTTTGTTGACAGACTTCTCCCAAGCGATGGACCTCTCTAGCTGGCCCACACACAAGCACACCTGGGCTGCACTACGGCACCGCTCAAGCGTCTGACGCCAGACACGAACACGAGGAGTGATCTCATATGATCTGTAGGGAGATAGTGGTCATCTTAGGACAAGGAGTCTGAGGAGGCATCGATAAATAGGAGTTCCAGGGTAGTAGGAGGCACTCACATCTCTGCAGTGGTACCCTCAGAGGCACCATTAGGTGTGCTGAGCAGGGCCTTCTCTAGCACCACCTCATGGGCTGACCAGAGGGGCTCCCGCAGGTAACGCCGCTCTACATTCTGTTCCAGGGCAGTCAGCCGCATCACAGCAAGGTCCAGAGGGTTGGTGCTTTTCCGCTGAGGTACTAGTCCTTCCCTACCTCGCCCTCTCCAAAGGATATCCTCTTGACAGTCAGGGAGATGCTCACAGTAGGCCAAGTCTTCACGGGTAGAGTCTGGGCTAGGACATGTCCAGCCCTTCCAGTGGGAAAGAACAAGAAAACTCATTGTAAAACAGGAAAATTAGGCATGGGGGGAAAAAATAAGGTCATGGTAGATCACTCGGGAAGTAGGAACCAAGGGCTTTTCCAAAGAGGTTCAAAGGTTTAACGTAAGCTAGCACTTGGGAGGCTAAGGCAGGAAGACTGCCCTGAGTTCTAGGCCAGCCTGGGCTATAGAGACCTTGTCTCAAAAACCAAAATCCAACTGGGTATTATGGTGCATGCCTTTAATCCCAGCATTCAGGAGGCAGAGGCAAGCGTATCTCTGAGACTGAGGCCAACCTGGTCTATATAGCAAATTCCAGGTCAGCTAGGGCTACAGGAAGACCCTGTCTCAAAAAAAACAAAACTCAAATTAAAACCCCTCCCCTAAACAACTCCCTACCCAATGCCAAACCCTGTATACCCGAATCTGCAGATCAGAAAGGATAACCCGCTGTTCTAGCTCTTCTACGCACTGAAGCACAGCTAGGTCCGTCTCATATGTCTTCTCTTTGGGGGACCAGTTCATAATTCCTTCTTCCAAGGCAGACAGTTGACTAGGCTCAAAGATGGGATCTAGGAAGAGAGAAAGTAGAGTGGTCCACCAGGCTACTGTTCACAGCAGCTACTCTTCAGCTCAGGCTGGGCCAAGCTCTCTATATTTACCAGCTGAGGGTCGTAAGCAGACTTCCTGCAAGAAGTCCCTGTGCTTGTTAAGGTGTTTGTGAAGTGCCTTCTCCCGGATGCCTCGGGGATGTAGGGCCTTGAGCATGGCATCCAGTGTCTCAGGATCTTGGATCCACCACCAGCCTGAGCACATCTCTGTGAACAGAGAATATGTATATGCAGCAGGGGTGGGAACCAGCCATGAATCACACTGCCCACAATGGAAACTGCTATTAACGTCCACACTTACCCTATCCCACCCAAGATAACTCACCAGGAGGGATAGGCTGGGCTGTCAGCTGGGTTAAGTAACGCTGCTCAATCTGTTTAAAGAACTTGCTGGGAGGTCTCCCTCTCCGTTTTGGCTGTCCCAATCCTGTGGGACTCTGTGGCATTTCTTCAGAGTCTCCTGCTCGCCTCTTAGGGGTCACCCCAGGCAAGGGGGTGGAAGAGAACTGCACAGGAGAACAGGCATTGGCAGGAGTGGGTGCAGTCATCTGTGAATAAGAGCAGACATAAAGGAATGAGGTTATTTTAATGTTTCTAACTTTAGGCAACAGCCTCATAGAAAGACAACAGACCCAGGGAAAGATAAAGTTCATATTAGTTGGACTACTTACTGGCTTAGAAGAGGCAGGTAGCTGAAGGGAGGGAGTAGGTTGGTCCTCAGAAACTGCAGGTGGTGGTGTAGGGGCTGCATTGCAGGGTATATGGGCTGAGAAGTTAAACCAGGGTCCTTGAGGATCAGGGCAGGACTCTTCCTCATCAGGCCCTGGCTCATCCGGGGGCTGAGATGGAGCTGAGTCTAGTTTTCCTGGGCTGCTATCAGGTGTGAGGACTGAGCTGCTCAATAGGGAGCTGCGGTTCTGAGTTTGACTCAGCCAAGACAGGAAGGCTGACTGGCTGAGATCATGCTGGCTCTGACCCAGAGACAAGGGGGAGCCTTCTGGCTCCAGGAACCCATTATGGGACTGTGGAAGGGACTGAAGCTCAGGCTGGGCAGGAGCCTGAGGCTCAGAATGGGACTGAGGTTCCAACTGAACCTGAGTCTGGAGCTCTTCTGAATCCTGTACCCTAACAGGGGACTTAAGGTGCCTAGATTGCATAAACCCCGGTTTAGATTTTCGTGGTCGGCCTCGGGTCCTGGCAGGAAAGGAAGAGGTATTGGAGTCGTTTAACTCCCTCTTCACAGAGAAGAGGGCAGAACTCGGTGTTGAATTAATTGTTTCCTTCAAGCAGTCAGTTTCCTGCTTTATCACATCTTCAGTAACTATAAAGAGAAACAAAGATCTTAGGACATACATATACTACTATATAATGGAAATGAAAGGATAAACATATACTTTTTTTTCTTAGACTTGATCCTCTTGTTTTGAGATTCTACTGGCTCATAGCTTACATGCCAGTGAATATAGTATCTGAGGAAGAACTACTTTGCTCTAAATAAACAACAGCAGCAGCATAACCATAACCAAACATTTACTGAGGACCAACTATAGGTTAAACACTTTTTTTTTTATTTTATGTGTATGAGTGTATTGCCTGCATGTATGTGAGTGCACCCATGTTGTGCAATGCTGCAGAGGTCAGAAGAGGGCTTTGGATTCCCCTGGAACTGGAGTTAAGGATGGTTCATAGTGGCCATGTGGGTGCTGGGAATCGAACCTGGGTCCTCTGCAAGAGGAGTCAGGGCTCTTAACCACTGAGCCATCTCTCCAGCCCCTAAACACTTCTTTTGGAACACGGTCTTGATGTATAGTTCAGTCTGGCCTTGAACTTTGGGTCCTCCCAAATGCTGGGATTACAGGACTGTGTCATTATACTCAGCTTAGCCCTGCGTGTTTGGGATCAAATCCAGGGTATCACATTACATCTATCACTGAGCTACATCCCAGCTGGGTTAAGCACTCATTAACTCAGAGCAGTAACTCAGTTTAATTCTCAATCGTCTTATGAAGTACATAAACTACCAATATGCCCACAGCTTATAATGAAGAAACTGAAGCATACAGCTGGTATGCGACAGCACAGGTAAGTAGCCTTACTCTGGAGCCTGTGCTCTTAAACACTATGCTCCACTGATTCTCAGAAAATTAAAGCTCTAAGAGCACTAGGTAAAGGAAAAGGAAGTATTTATTTTTGTTACAACCCAGAATTCAAGCTTCCACAGATATACCGACCTAAATTCTCCTCTGCTCCTTCCACAAAGATACCAGCCAAATATGGTAATACCCAGTAGTGGCGTCTGTAGCGGTCCTGACCCAAAGAGACTGCCCGAAGCATTTGGGATGAATGAAGCAGCTTTTTGCGAAAGAAGAGCTGACGCTGAGTAGAAAGTAGAAAAGGAAAGTGAATAAAAAACATTTTCAGAGTGATATGCTGAATTTTAATATACGGGAATAAGCAATGGCTCCAAGCTTCCCCACACAACTGATATGATCTCAGAAGATGAACTGATTCTTGCCCAACCCATACCTCCAACTTTCAGGAGGTTAGAAACACAGTACCTTACTGAGTTTTTCTATCTGGCGCTCTAACTCTGGAATGCTAGATGCTGTAGCATCAACCTGGGCAGAAACAAATGAACATTGATTGAGAAAGGGGGAGTTGGTAGATTCAAGAACAAGTGATACGTCCTAACCCCTACTTTTCCTTTGTCTTAGGCTAGTACCTCTCCATCTCTTCGACCCCTGCGACCATGGAAAGCTGCTATGTTCTCCTCCTCATCCTCCTCTTCCATGCCACTGGTTTCTTCCATGATCCGAGAACTGCGCCTCCGTCCCAGGCCTTCCTCTGGCCCTTCCATCTCAACCTCAGTCCTCCCAGTTCGCTTGGCCAGAGCAGTTTTCAGTCTTGAAAAACAGAGATTAAGGAAACTATGGTGAAAAACATAATGCTTAATTAAAAAGGAAACACTCAAAATCTAAATCTTCCAAAGATCTGGTAAAGTCCCAAACTCTAGAAAGGCATCATGACCAGGCAAAGTCATGCCCATGCCTCACCCTCTCTCTGGGCTCTACTCTTTGTCCCGGCCCTACCTCCGGAGTCGGCCTTCAACAATCCACTTGTTTTTCCTGTAGCTGGACATATTCTCCAGAGTCTTGTCAATCTCACTGCAGAGAAGAGAGATGGGTTTTGAGGCAAAAACGGCAACACAAAACAGGGAAAAGGAGGAGACTTAAGAATTAAAGATGCTGTAGGGATTTCAGCCTGCCACCCAGGCTGAATGAAAGCAAAGGAAGGCCTAACTTCTCCCATGGAGGACCCTGAGATTCTGTCCTACGTCACTCCAGCACCCTCAGAGCAGGACAATGGACACATACCACACCATGACTTCTGGAGAGCTAAGCCTTCCCTATTCCATTCCTACACAGGCATAAGATTAACCATTCCCACCATAGCCCCTCACTTGATGATGATGGTGGAGCCGTTGAGCTCGTGCACAAGGAAGGCTAGAACAGCAGCCTTCTGTTGGGGTGGCTGGGCCTGAAAAGGTTGGGTACGCAGGCTGTCACAGAGGGCTGGCTCCACCCTATATGCCATGAGGAAGCAGCGCAGTATCTCAGACACATTGTCTCTGGTCAGTGGGATCTCGGACACCTTCTCCCCCAAGATCTTCAGAGACTATTTGGAAGAGAACATAATGAGAATGAGAAAGAAAATGGGAACAACTGAAGTTGAATGAACCTGGGAGGAACTACAGGGTTAAGAGAGGACAAAAGGAAAAGAATGAGGCCAGCAACATGTCTCAGCAGGTAAAGAAGGTGCTTGCCACCAAGCCTAAAGACCTGAGTTCAATATCTAGACTCTATGGTGGAAGGAGAGATCTGAGACTTCCTCAAATTGTCTTCTAACCTACACGTGTGTGTGCACACACATAATCACAAATTCTTAGGGCTGGAAAGATGGCTCAGAAGTTAAGGGCACTTGCTACGCTTGCAGAGGACCTAGGCTTGATTCCCAGCACCCACATGGCAGCTCACAACTTCAGTTCCAGGGGATCCAATGCTCTCTTCTGGCCTCTGTGAGCACCAAGCACACACAGAGTACATATACATACATGCAGGCAAACACTTATACACATAAAAATAAGCCTTTTAAAAACACTTTTTTTAAAGAGAAAAAGGATGGAAGTTACTAAGACAAAGACTACAAAGGAAAAAAGAAAAAAAAATGATAAAACACAATGAACAAATAAAGCATCAGAAAGAAAGCACAAGAAAAACAGAAATAGGGAGAAACTACATTGCCTTTCTCTGGATGCTTTTAGGGAGGAACTACTATGTGTTCTCAAAGAGAAAGCAAAATTCCAGGCCTAGGAAAGCTCACCTGACAGTAGGAGGGCAGACCAGGATCACAGAGCGCAGCCTTCAGGAGCCGCACCAGCAGGTCTTGCACTTTGCCAAAGCTATCACCTTGACACAAGAGTCCTTCCTGCAAGACTCCCAGACTAGGCACATCTTTGGTAGGATCAAAGCCTAGCACCTTGCCAAAACTGTGCAGGAACTCCATGATGGTCAAGCAATCTGAGAAAGCCTTACTGGGCAGTGTCAAACCAGGGATGCGCGTGAAGTCAGGCAGAGGCTGCAGAGATAAAGAGGGTATCCTGTCAGACTCATAAGGGATAATCATGATGGTCAGAGGTCCTTCTGTTAACAGAAATGTCCTCGGAACCGGCCCTTTCATTATCTTCCCCAATCATCCTACCTGGTGGTCAGTCAGACACATATCCTCGGTGGGCTTCTTCATCTCCTCCAAGATCACCTGCTGCCTCTGTCGTTCCTCTAGACGCCTCTGTGTGGCAAGGGTCTTATCTGTTTTACAGGTTGGCTTGGCTTTGGCCATCTCCTCTTTTCCCTTCATTTTTCCCTTTTCTTTCTTTTCCCTCTTCACTTTTTCCTTCAGTTTTTCTTGCTTTATCTTTTCCTTCTCAGCCTAGTAACCCAGGAAGAGAGAATAAGGTGGTAAAGATACCTACTAGTCTCTACCCATTCCTGATCCTAGTCCCTCCCAAACCCAGAGTCCAGAAATATAATTATAAAATAACACTGACACAGATGTCTGCAAAATCTGTTTGGTAGCTTCAAAACTAGTTTTGAGAGATGGGGATGGAGCTCAGTGGTAGTGTCTGTCTAGCATGCACAAGACACTGGGTTTGGTACATTATGCTGGAAAAAAAAAATTAAACTTGACAAATGTATACATTCATCTACCTTAAATTTCTTCTTAGTGTCTTTCTGCTTTATGCTCTTGGTGTCTTGTTTCCGCTTATTTCTAGCCTGTAAACCATAAGAGAAGTTATTTCTCCTCAAACTCTGAAAGTACCTTTGCTTGGGCTAGGATTAAAAAAAAAAACAAGGATGTTGGGGAGGGAGAGTGCGAGATGGGATGATGAGGGGTTGGCAACAGATCAATTCTATCACCCTAGAGACGCCCATATCATTTGTGAACAACCCAGCTGTCTAAATCAAGTCCAAGAAGTAATGAATGTATGCTGCTATGTCAGGGTGGCAAACAGAGATGAAAGAAAACATTAAACAAGTTGTAGGGAAAGCTGGCCCACAGAGGCAAAGCTGGTCCACTGATGTCCCTCACCTGCCCTGGGATCAAAGTCTGATTCTCTCCCCGCTGTACCTTCTGCCTCGTCTTCTTTTTACTTTTACTTATCTTTGCTTTATCCTCCTCACTCAGTGTTTCTGTGAAGGCAGAAAGAAAAATTAAAGGAATGAGACAGTAAAACATGCTTGGCCTCCATGGCAGCACATGACTATCACAAAGCTGACTTTCCAAGCAGCTCCATGAACAAGTTCTGTTGTTTTTCATTTTTCAGTAAATGTTTTTTGGGAAGAAAAGATCAGAGAGATACTGGGCAAGGTAATTGTACAAACAACTTAAGTAGCATCACCAACCCAGAAGACACAGTCTCTGACTCCAACTGGACTGCTTGGGAAATGGCCCAACTGAAGGAAAGAGACCACATGTGCAGGTATCTTTGCATCCTGCCTCTTTCCCAGGCTACCTCCCGGCAACCTACAGACATCCACAGACTGATCTTAGTGCAGAGAGCTGAGGGAAAGACAGCAAGCAGTTGGCAGCAATGACATGGTAGATAACAGACTCTTCCAAAGAGTTGCCTCGACACTGTCATAGCTAGTGCTCATGCTCAGCTCACATGGCTCACTCTGATCAAAGAACTATCTTCCTTTCTGAAAGTCTGAATATTGAAGTATAATTCTGCAAATATTAGTATACTCAGTTCATAACTGGTATTTCTGACATGACAGCACCTATTCTTTTGTTTCTGATACAGAAACACCACCATACATTTTTATGCAGTCAAGTGAATTAAATATTGCAGGACGGTAAACTGAGTGTGGTGGCACACACCTTTAACCCCAGCACTCAGGAGGCAGAGGCAGGCAGATCTCTGTGAGTTCAAGGCCAGCCTGGTCTACATAATGAGTTCCAGACAAGCTGGGGCTATACAGAGACCCCGGCTCAAAAAGACCAAAAAAATATTGTAGGCAGATGAACCACATAAAGCTTTTATTAAAATATGAGACATACAAAGTTTAGGGGGGTTAGCTCAGTGGTATAGTGCTTTCTAGGCAAGATCCTGGGTTTGGTCTCTAGCGCGCGCGCGTGCACGCGCACGCGCACACACACACACACACACACACACACACACACTGACAAGAGCCTGGGTTTGGTCTCTAGCGCGCGCACACACACACACGCTCGCAATTGTTAAGTCTTGGTCTCGAGCGCGCGCACACACACACACGCTCGCAATTGTTAAGTCTTGGTCTCGAGCGCGCGCACACACACACACACACACACACACACACACTCTAACATATTGTCAAATAGCAGAGCTAGAACTCCAAATGGAATTAAGAACTCTCTCTCCCTCTCTCCCTCTCTCTGACATACTGTCAGATAGCAGAGCTAGAACTCCAAATGGAATTAAGAAGACTATCATTCTTCACACTATACCAGAGTAAATACAATATCTAGTTTAAGAATCAGACATTTCGCCATGTATCTAACCCACTAAAATGGTGCCAATTACATTCAGGTATTAATTTTGAATTTCCACAACAAGGAGCAAGGAGAAAATATATAACTGGAATCAGTAGAAGGAGCTGAATGATGGTACAAAAATGTATGGCAGTCTCCTCTGGACCATATTACTGTATGTAGGGATAGTTCAAGGTTTTAGTAGTGTGCTGGATAGCTTTAGTATCAACTTGACACACCAGGGTTGAGGGCACCTCAACTGGGGAATTTCCTTCAGTGGACTGGCCTGTGGTCATGTCTGTGGGGCCTTTTTGATTGTTGAGTCATGTGGGAGGGCCCAGCCCACTGTGGGTGGTGCCACCCCTGGGCAGGTGGGCGTGTGTTGCATAAGAAAGCAGGCTGAGCAGGGGCCAGGGGAGCAAGCCAGTAAGCAGCATTCCTCCATGGCCTGTGCTTCAGCTCCTGGCTCCAGGTTCCTACCCTGAGTTCCTAGCTTGGGCTCCCTGATGAACTGTGACCCAGGAGATATAAGATAAATAAATCCTTTCCTCCCCAAGTTGGTAGTGGTCAGACTGTTTAGTCACAGCAATGAAGAAACAAACTAAGACAACTAATAAGAGCAATTCAAAGAAAGAAATTGTGTGGGGGAAAAAGTAGCAAAGTGCTGGGACTCTGATCCTGCCTTCCCAAGCAGGAGGACTTGATTCAGATTCATCTGTCCAGATGTAGTCACGCCTAGGAAACCCAGGTATTTGTAATTCAGCAATATTTCAGATATCTCACAAAGAGAACAGAATCTCAAAAATTAGAATAGCACTGTAGGGGCTGCAGAGATGGCTCAATGGTTAAGAGCATTTGCAAAGGACCTGGGTTTGGTTCCCAGCACCCACATGATGGCTAACAACCATCAGAAAGTCCAATTCCAGGGGATCCGACACCCTCTTGTGACATCCACAGGCATTGCATGACATGGGTGCACTTACATACAATACACACAGCAGAACACTCAATCACATAAAGTAAAAATAAATAAATTTTGCTGGGCATGGTGGTGCACGCCTTTAATCCCAGCACTCGGGAGGCAGAGGCAGGCATATGTCTGTGAGTTCAAGGCCAACTGGGGCTACAGGGAGACCCAGACTCAAAAAGACCTGAAAAAAAAATTATTTTTAAAAGCATCTTTTAAACAAAGCCTGGAGGCAGAGGCAAGCAGATCTCTGTGAGTTTAAGGCAAGCCTGGCCTACATAGCAAGTTCCAGCCCAGCTGGGGCTACAGAGAGATCCTGTCTCATAAAAGACCCCCCCAAAAAATATATATATATTTTTTTTGGTTTTGGTTTTGTTTTTTTAAATAGCACTATACCTTGGGCTTCCAGTTTTTTGGGGAGGCGGTTGTCTGTTTTATTCAATAGCTCTGGAATTTTGATTTTAGGTGGTCGACCTCGTCCCCGCTTCACCTTGGGGACTTCCTTGGTTTTAGCCTTCTCATTGTTTCGAGGTCTGCCCCGTTTGCCAGTAATTGCTTGAATCCTGGAAGGAATCTCCTCTGCTGAAAGTTGGACCCACTGCAAGCCCTAAAGGAACAAGACAGACTGAACTACATTGGGGAAATCGGTGCAGGACACTAGGCCCTCTGAACCATCCAAGGCGCCCTGAGATGCCCAACCCCACAAGAGGACCCTTGGGCCAGCACCTCTGGTGTGTCTCTTTCTTCAAAGAAATCTCCAACAGGCATACGAGGACTGAAGCTGAAGTGCTCACGACGAACACTGTGTACCACATTACGGCTCAGGTACTGAGGAAAAGTAAAGACTTGGTATTAACAAGTCTTTGATCAACAATAGCACAGGTAGAACAGACTCAAGAGTAGACAATGCTTGCCTGCTCTCCCAGGACCCAAGAAAAATGAAAAGCCACAAATGATACATTACCTTGATAACTTCTGGAAATTGTTTCATCCTTTTCCCACAGGGACCATAATACCAGGTCTCCCCCTGCCACCGCTGGCTGCCCTTCTTGATGCGCACTTCTCTCCGCCACCTGCCAGAGAAGCACATGGGCCCTGCCACCAGGTCACACCCCTACCCACTCCCATGCCACCCAGGAGCCAAGCCTACTGATAACCCTCCCACATCTATCTCAGCAGTCCTGTGTACAGATAGTCCTACATACAGAAGCAGCACAGTAAACTACCTTGACAAAAAGGAAGGCTCAAGCTCCAGCAAAATACCTCAGAAGGAAAGCAATACACTAAATATAAGAACCTAGGGGCCAGGCGTGGTGGTGCACGCCTTTAATCCCAGCACTTGGGAGGCAGAGGCAGGAGGATCTTTGTGCTTTGTGAGTTCGAGGCCAGCCTGGTCTACATAGTGAGTTCCAGGACAGCTGGGGCTACAGGGAGACCCTGTCTCAAAAAGACTTAAAAAAAAAAAGAACTTAGAAAGACCTCTACTCTTGCTTTCTACAAAGTCACTGAAATGAGCAATCAGAAATCCTTCCTGATGCCATTCAGGACAATTAATGAGTATTTATTGTTAAAGACCTAAGGTAAGGGGCTGAAGAGATGACTCGACAGTTAAAGAGTATTGGCTGCTCTCTCAGGGGACCTGAATTCGGTCCCAACACCCACATCATGGCTAATAATCATCTATCACTCCAGTTCCAGGGAACCCGACATCTTCTGACCTCCATGGGCATTATATAAGATAGGTGCACTTACATACATGCAGGCAATACACTCACATACATAAAATAAGAAGGGTTACCCTGTCTTGACTAAAGATGATAAATGCAGAAGATGAGGTGTGGAGGAAAGCAAAAGAGTAAACTTGCTGCTGACTCCATGAAATGACTAAGCAGGTGATGTTTCAGTTAGGAACTCTATGTTCTCAGAGACAAATTATGAAACTCAGCCTTATCTTTCTCTCAAATGTTTGAGTAGTACTCAGATTTGGTGACAAGTAGTCTAGAGTAGTTGTGACAAAAATCTACGAAGACAGTTAATTTCCATGAGGCTTTTATTTTGGTCATTAAGCCAAATTACTGTTCCAGAGCTTAAGTCTCCAAAGAGCATCAAAACAGAAACTACAAAACTATAAAACCATCTAATTTATTGGTAGTAAACCACTCCCCATTCATTATTACTATTTCTCTATGAAAACAGGTCTCTCTAGCTAGTTTGGATGTCTGAGCCTTGATTTGGAAAAGGCTCCCTCATCAAGACTAAGTAACTATCAGATGAGGAAAGAACAGATGAGGGAAGGCAGACCTTATAAGAGGGAATACAGGGCTGGAGATGGTCCAACAGTTAAGAGCACTTGCTAATCTTCCAGAAGACCTGAGTTAGGATCCCAGCACCCAAATGGAGCTGATTCACAACTACCTGTAACTCTAGCTTTAAGTAATATCACACCTTCCTCTGGCCTCAGAGGTTACGCATATACATATGGCACGCCCACACAAATTTAAAAATAAAATAAATCTAAAAGAAGAAAAAGGAAAAATCTAGGAATCTCATGCACAGAGCATAATGATTACAGATAACTGTTCTGTACCTATTCCTGTCTAGCCTATTTGTTCATTTCTCCCTTCTTTCTACAGTTGCACATTAAACTTGTCAAGACCAATGCATGTATCGATCTAGAGCATTTACCCATGTTGGAGGGGAAGACGAACTTCTTCTGGGGTGGCAATTCGTCTCTTCAGAACATCACCTTGAGAGGACCAGAGATACCAAGTTAAGAAATAAAGTAAAATCACAGGTTAGTAGGGAAAGGCTGAATCCAATATGGACATAAACTTTTGTTAAAACCAGGCAGGGGTAACACAGAATCTGGACACTTACCACTACCAGACGTGACTGCTTCTCCAGTGATCTCTTCAAGGTCAGCAGAAGCTTCAGGGAAGCTGCTGATGTCTTGATTTGCTGGGGAGGTTGTTGGGAAGGCAGCTGCTGGAGAAGTTACAGGGGAAGCTTGAGGGGAGGTCACTGGAGCTGTTAAGGATGTTTCCAAAGAGACTGCTGGGAGAACAGCTGAGGAGGTTGGAGAAACTGTTGGAAAGACTGCTGGGGGGACAAGTGGGGAAGCTATGGGAGAAACTGCTAGAGAGATTTCTGTAGAAGCTGGCAAGGAGGCTGCTGGGGAGACTTCTGGATGTAGCTGAATAGTAGATGGCTGGTCAGGGGCTTGCTGAGTCAGGGGAGGTGGGAAATCTGAAGACTGAGTCTCCATTTCTTCCTGTTCAGTGTCACTGCCATTATTCAGGTCAAAACTGTTATCTAAAATCCAAAGGATAGTGGCGGTAAAGGGAAAGTAGTATCACATAAAAAGAAAGTTTATTCAGTCAAATCTAGATTACTTTGAGAGCTTTTAGCTAGAAAAAGTAGTGGGCTTTTAGTTAGAAAAGTGGGACTCTCAGCTTACCCCACTTTTAAAGTTAAAGGGTAAAGCTGCTGTTATCATCGTAGAAAGAAACAGCTTTTATCTAAAGCCAAAATGACCTCTAGTCTTCTTTTCGTCGAAAACTCCCAAGTCTCACAAATTCTCCTCCACTGATGGCACAGGTCAGAGTGCAATGGTCTATGTCTTTTTTTATTCCCACCATACACTATCCCATAGACCCTTCAGCATCCAGCAAAGTATCCTTATAGACTTCCCACTCCTAAGGGCCTAATGATGGAACCTATTCTCACTTTTTTTTTTTTTTTTTTTTGGTCTTTTTGAGACAGGGTCTCCCTGTAGCCCCAGCTGTCCTAGAACTCACTATGTAGACCAGGCTGGCCTTGAACTCACAGAGATCTGCCTGCCTCTGCCTCCGGAGTGCTGGATTAAAGGTATGCACCACCACGCCTAGCCTATTCTCACTTTTTTGTGTGTCAAGGACTTCATTGATTCTACCTCTCTTCACTTACCTTGTAGGACAGACTCTCCTAAGACAGGTGGAGAGGTGGGACTGGCAAAGATAGAGGCAGATGTTTGACTATCATCTGCCAGGAGACTGAAGGCAGTAGCATTATTGAGAGAAGGGCAATCAAGAGCAGAGATTACAGGGCTGTCCTCAAGAGGCAGCTTGTCCTCTGCACTCATCAGCTCTGTGTCGTCTATACCATAAAGTCCTCCACTCACTGGTTCTGTTTATAGGGGTGAAAAATAAAAAAGTAAAACATTAAGAAAAAAATCAGCAAACAAGATTTCTTTAAAAAAATATTATCCTCAAATTATCGAATTCTAGTTTCTAGAGTATGAATTAGGGAGGGGTTACTGCACTCAAGAGTTCAGTAGCAAATGAGTCAGGGTCTCATCTATAGACCAAACAAATCTGGAATAATGGAACTCACTATGTAGTTCAGGATGGTGTCAAAGTCATAATCCTACTTCAGTCACCCACCTGGCAAAATTCTAATATTAAATTAAGAGAAAATGTGTAGCCCTCTAAAAGAACAAAGTTGTGAGACTGAAAATGCAAGGTGTTGACCACCTACCTACCCACTGATCCCCACATAAATGTACCATTTATCATACGATAGGCTTTATTTTTATATTTCATTGGGGGGAAAAGATTAGTATTCATTAGAAAATGCCTTCTTTCTAGTTGTCAGAACCCAAATAGCCCAACTATGTGATAGTTACACCCTAGTCAGTGAATTATCGTAGCCTAGGGCTCTTGGCCAATTGGAACACAGAGAAAGAGTCTGGGAAATAAACCAATTCATCTCGGAGTGCTGTTGGCCAAGTCAGGCCAGTGGCATTTAACTATGGTCTACTATAGGACTGCCTACAAGCCCTAACACTATGATTCCCTTATGCTTTCCCTGGTTTACTATCTTTTCCAGGTAGCAGGGGCTGACTACTGTACGTTCAGGTAAGTGGAAAGGATGCACCCTCCAAAGCCCACCTGGTGCCAGAGAGTCAAAGGGCTCAAGAGAATCTTCACTGAGGATTGGAGTGTCTTCCAGTTGATCAGGAAGATGTGAAGGATCATCTAAACAGCTCACTGAGGGATCAGGGACCAGGACTGAGACTTCTTGGTGTAATGACTCCACAGAGGGGACAGAACCATTGTAGCCACACATCTTTAGTTCTAGGGAATCCCAGGACAAAGCAAAAGTCAAAATTCCATGACCTCCAATTAACTATAGTAAGCGGTTCATGTTGGCTAGAAGGTTATTCCAGCAAATCTTTTGAAAAGCTCACACCCACACTTGTGTATGTACTGTCCTTTTCCAAAGTAGTAAAGTGGAACACTTCTCTTAGTAAATACTAACTTTGCTTAAAAATAAGGATATTCACTCAATCAACATTTATTGCTTCTACCATTCTAGTTCCATACTAGGAATCAAATGTATACTCAGATACTCTAAATGAGCAGAGATGTGCTGCTAAAACTAATCTTACATAAGGCAAAGAGTGAAAGGGAAAGTGGAGCTTGAGACAAGAACTCCATCATATTCTCAGCTATCTTCCCCAACAAGTGGAACAGAGAAAACACCCTTTGATTTTTTTTTTTTTTTTAAATAGGGCAGTCACCCTAGCATTGGATACAAACTACAAACTAAGCTTTTACCTTTTTTGAGGAACTCAATGAACAAGGTTGTCACATACATAAACGTTAACAATAACAAAAGAAAAATGACAAGCAGTTATGTAATTCTGCCTATTTCCTTTTCTCCTTCATACACCAGTCACTACTTGGGCTTAAGGACCTAATCCTGCCATAGTTAAAAATGGCCTCACTGCTTACTGCTAACGCCCTAATGGTTTTATGTTTTTAATTTTTTTTTTTTTTCTGGTCTTTTTGAGACAGGGTCTCCCTGTAGCCCCAGCTGTCCTGGAACTCACTATGTAGACCAGGCTGGCCTTGAACTCACAGACATCCACCTGCCTCTGCCTCCGGAGTGCTGGGATTAAGGCGTGAGCCACCACACCCGGCTTAAATTTATTATTTTTATTTTATATGTATGAGTGTAATGCCTGCATGTATATAAGTGCACCCAGGTTTTTCAATGCCCGAGATCAGAAGAAGGTGTCGGATCCCCTGGAACTGGAGCTACAGATGGTTGTTAGCTGCCATGTGGATGCTGGGAATTGAACCTGTGTCCTCTGCAAGAGCAGCCAGTGCTCTTAACCGCTGAGCTATCTCTCCAGCCCTGATTTTATGCATTTTGAAAGAAGCACCGCCACCCATCCTCCTTTTTGAGAGAAGATCATATGTTTTCTAGGCTGACTTTGAACTACTTGTCCTCCTGCCTCCACCTCCTAAGTACTGAATTATAAACATGCACCACGCCTAATTTATGTGGTGCTGAGAATCAAACCCAAGGCTTCATGCATGCTACACAAGCACAGTACCAACTGAGCCTACATCCCAAGCCCAAGAAGCCACTCTTGATGCAGTGTCTCTTAGGGTTTTTTCAGGCTCGCCCACCTGCCCTCTCCAGGCCAGCAGCTCTGCATGAGCTTGAAATAATTTACACTCCCACTCTTGAGCTGGTGCTGCTGCCACAAAAACACCAGCCACTTGGCTCTGCTAATCACCAACATGCAAATCAGCCTCCACTGCAGAGAGCTAGAAAGACAAGTTTTCCTCACCTCAAAAAGCCACTGTCCCCACAGCCCCATTTTCCCTCTCCCCACCCAATTCACAAACCCAATTATACCTGGCTGTTCTTCCTCCAGCTCCAGGCTGCCTACCAAGCCAGTGCCATTTTCTGCCACAACTGAAGTCAGCTCCTTTTCTGCTGCCTCATCAGGATGGATTCCACTGTCTACCTCCCGGGAGGGTGCAAAGGTCTGGATACTAGATCCCAACATAGGAGAAGTCTGTGGGGAGGTGAAAAAACTTGGGGGTCCATTGGGTATCACCTCAAAGTTCTGGTCAGGAAAGGAATCATACAGTTCCTGTGAATCGAAGTTAAGCCCCATGGGACTCTGGGTACCGTTGGCCCAGAACTCTTGACTCCCAGGTCGAAGATTAGTGTTGTGATTTGGGGATGAAGGTTGTCGGCTGCCCCCAAGGATGCCGTTGAGTGGGTACTGTCCCCCCGAGAACTGAGAGAGAAGGGGCGGGTCCTTGAGGTTGCTGCCAGGATTGGCAGATGGGTACTGTGAGTAGTTCCAGAGACAGTCGTAGGCCACGTTAGGGTGATGGAGGTGTGAGGTGCTGGAGGAATGGGGAGCAGAGTTCAAAATCCCTGAAGTTGTAGTGTGAGATACAGTAGATAAGCCATTAACATTCACATCCCCATTCAAACCTGGCAGAAAAGGAAAGAAGAGGCTCAGTTATGAATATATATGCAAGTAACTCTACCAAAAGAACCCCAAATTAACAGCATTAGCTAGAAAAAGGGAAAGTAAAAGGAAAGGGAGTCCCCTCTGCTACATTTAGCTTTTGGATCTCAAGGGAACACCAAAACCCAGATGCACTTGGATGTAAGCTTAGCAACTGCTGCTGAGACTGAGTAGGGGGCTGGGGAGCTGCCTAGGTGTGCCATAGGCATTACCAGCAGAGTTGGAGGTGGTGGCTATGGCTGCTGTAGCTGCTATTACTGCAGGCGTTCTATTAAAGGAAGTTGTATACAGACTCCCTACAATGACTTGCATTCTTTCCCACTCTCATTCCTTATGGGAATTCTTCCCTTAGAGGGGGCTTGACTCAATTCTCCAGTCCTTCTCCCCCTTTCCTTGGTGTCTGTCTGGCCCCACAGTGGCACCAGAAGGGACAGCCTCCACCTCACTGGCACATGCAGATCCAGCACTTTGTACTAGGCTAAGAATAGAATTTGCAGTCACCACAGTGACAAGATTCCAACTCAGAATGCTGGGTTTAGCCTCTCCCCATAGCCCAGGAGGATAATATGCAGTAGGTAAAAAAAAAATCTTTGCATGACCAGTGCTACAGAATTCAGCTCTGAAAACTAATGGTAACCTCCTAGATTGAAACAGAGAACAACTGATAAAAGGAACCAAGATACTAAAGAAGTTGCAGGCAGATGGAAGTAAAGAGTGGGGCATTTTACAGTACACAGGCAGGTGTGTATGTATAAGAGATCCCAATGAAATAAAGTGGCTTGTATCTACCTGAGAGCACCCTGTAGAGAGGAGGGATAGTGGTAGGTCTGAATTTTTCTACTGCAAGAAAGAAAGAAAAGCATGTGGAATTCTGTATCCAAGCATAAATGACTTGAAATCTAAGAAAAATTAATGACTGAGTAACTGATAAGCCAAATCCAGGGAAAGACATGGTCCTATACTGGGCATGGTGGCTCAACACCTGTAACCCTAGCATGCTTAAGACTGAGACAAGAGTACTTCCACTAGTTCAAAACTAGCCTGGGCTACAGAGTGAAACATTTCAAAAGAAAAAAAAGAAAAGATCCAATCTTAACAGCAACAAGTACTTCCATATGGAATTATAAACTTCCACGGGAAATCAGGTAAGCACTGACCCTCCCTACCATCTATCCAAGGACAAGTAGAGGCAGCACTTCCATGATCTGTCTCTCATACTACACAATGAAAAGGCAGACATACACGACTAACTTTCACCCACCTTCCTCACCACTAGTCCTAGCCCCAGCTTTTCTAGACCCTAAAAACAGCTTCTCACATCCCTTCATCTCTTTCTCTCAGGCTACCACCCTGTTATCAGCAGCAGTAGCCACCTCCTTTTCTGCAAGTACCCAGGGAACAGGACTGACAAAAGAGCAGGCTAATATGAAAAGGCCTGTATGTTTTTTCTAATCCTTTCCAATCTGAAGTCAGAATAGAAAGTGCTGCTTCTATAAAATCCCTAAAACTTATTCTCAGAAGTTTGAATTCTCTCTAGCAGTTAGTAAGTTCTGTGGATTTTCCTTCCTCTGTTACTATCTGTCAGAAAAGAGTAGTTTGAGGGGTAGCTAGACCAAAGTGGAGCCAGAGCTCCTCCCATAAGTCTGCTCTTCAGAAATGATGCCCATTCCCTCCCCAGGCCATGTGGCCCTCACACTCACTTTTCCCTTGCTGGGGGAAGTTCATGGGAGACCCGTTAGTGTAGAGGCCCTCCCCTGAGGAAGGAGAGGGTTTCAGTCCTGAGGCAGCTGGTGCAGGGGGAAGGCCAGTAAAGTTAAAATGGTCGTTTGCCTCCATTTCTGTAGGAGGGGAGAAAGGAAAAAAAAATACTGGCGGTTAAACAAGATTACATCACCTGAATTCTTCTGGAGGGAATGCCCCCTCCCTCCTTCTACTTGCCCTTCTACCTTTATTGAGAGGGTAGAGGTTAAAAAAGAGAAGAAAATATGTTCTTAACCTATACAAAGACCCAATTAAAGGTCAATTTTAAGCCAGGCATGGTGGCGCACACCTATAATCCCAGCAAGTAGGAGACTGGGGCAAAAGGATCACAGGTTCAAGGCAAAGTTTGAGACCCTGTCTAAAAATAAGTTATTAGGTAAGTAGGGATGTAAATGGACAGTCAACTTTATAGTGATAAAGAAAAAAAGAGTTAAGTATGAAAAACCAAGATACAAGCCTGGAGGAGCGTGCTCTCTACCTAAGTCCTACCCAGCCCAGGCTACCCCTGTTAGACATTAGCCCTTTATTGTAAGGTTTAACATTCTTCATTCTTTTCACTCTGCAGGTAAGGCCAGGATTCTGCTCCTAGGGTCCACAAAAGCTGTCAAAGTCATCTTTTTGTCTTTTTGGCAGAAAGTCATGGAGGTAAGCTGTTGGCAGGAAATACATATTTGAATTGGGTTTTTTTTTTTTTTTGGTTTGATGTTGGGCTTCAACTCTAGGTCTTGTACATGGTAAACACATTCTCTAGTACTGAACTACGTCCCCCACCCAGGAAATACATTTTTGTTATAAATCTTGTCTCATTACAATTTTGTTGAGACAGGGTCTCTTTATGTCCAAGTTGGCCTCATCCCTCCAATGGTCCTGCATCAGCCTCCCAGGTACTGTGATAATAGTGCCTCCATATATGGCTCTGTTTTATTTTTTAAAATATTTTATTTATTATTCTTATTTTATGTGTATAAGTGTATTTCCTGCATGTAAGTGCACCAGTGTTGTGCAATGCCTGTGGAAGTCAGAAAAGGGTATTGGATTCCCTTGGAACTGGAGTTAGGGATGGTTGTTAGCCACCATGTGAGTGCTGGGAACTTAACCTAGGTCCTCTGCAAGAGCAGCCCATACTCTTAACCCGAGCCAACTCTCCAGCCTGGCTCTGTTTTATTATACTTGAGTAAACAATGTCCATGATAGCCTACCTGTAGTCCTAGACATGGGAAGACTTGTAGTTACAGGACTACAGTGAGTTGAAAAGAACAAATTTCAGGAAAAAGTGACCATATTACAAGTCAAATCATCTGGCAATATATATTTTGTAGCAGTACTGGGGATCAAATCCAGGGCCTCCCTCTACCACCGAACTTTAAACTAAGATGCCCCCCTCCCCAAAAAATGGAGCTGGAAATGGCTCAGTAGTTAAGAATACTGGCTGGTCTTGCAGAGAACCTGAAATTGATTCCCAGCACCAACAGGGCAGCTAACAACTGTCTAACTCCAGTTCCAAGGGATCTGATGCCCTCTTCTAACCTCCGCAGGCACTGCACAACATGGGTAAGCTTACACACATGGAGGCAATACACTCATACACATAAAATAAAAATAATAAGCCAGGCTTGTGACACACACCTTTAATCCCAGCACTTGGGAGGCAGAGGCAGGCTGGATCTCTGTGAGTTCAAGGCCAGCCTGGTCTACACAGTGAGTTCCAGGACAGCTGGGGCT